TTAAAACTTAGATAGATATTCAATCTTCTGCTTATTGAATATGCAGATGAGAATATAAGATGTATAAGAAGAATCTAAAGATTATTAATAAGCTTATAAATAGAACTGACAGTAAGAAATGATAATTAGTTAAATATTAAGAACTGTATTAATATTGTATCTGAGACTCTGCAATCTGAAAGCTTGAGATTGTAAGAAATACTATTTTTAATGAAGAATTAATAATAGAAGAAGCACTGATGAATGTCAGTAAAGAAGTAGTCAAACTGTCAGAGAAATTGAATGTTCTTAATACTATAAAGAGATGATAACACTGCCTTCTAAGAAGACTTATAAAGAATAAATCTGATGTTTTAAAGATACTTGCTGATGATGATATAAACAGCATGCTGAAACTGACATATCTACTAGATAATGAGACAGTACTTGTTAATAATGATATAAATGATTCTGTGAATGATGAAGATTCTATACTTAGTGTTCTTAATGACTGTCTGATAACACTGACAGAGGTTAAAAGAAGCCATGACTGGGAACATTGACATCAGATAATGAAGAACAAAGTGAAAACTTTTGAACAGAAGAAGATATATATTATTGTTAAAAAGGCCTGAAAAATGAACATTCTTACAGATAAATTAGTATACAATTGAAAATTGAATAACAAGAATGAAATCATCTGCTTTAGAGCTCATTGAGTGATTAGAGATTTTCTACAATAATAAGATATTTATTATAATAAGTCATATACAGCAGTGATATCTGAATCTATATTACAGAGCTTATTCACTATATCAACAGTAAGAGATTAAAAAGTCAGATCAATTGACTATGTATCTGTGTTTTTAAATAAGGTATTGTCTCAGAATAAGATGATATTTATATAACTACTTACAGAGATTAAGCACAGTTGTAGTGAATTAATAGAACTTGTATATCAGAGCTTATACAGAATGAAATAGATAGTAAGAACATGATATTTTCTTACAACAGAATACTTGATGAATCTAGAATTCAAGATCTTATCTTACAACAGTGAATTTCTTTATCATTTAATTCACAAGTTATTCTTGACATCATATATCAATGACTATTGAATCACAGAGTCTGAAGAGAGTGAAATTAAGTGAATTTTAATAAAAATCAGAAGAAGGTTTGAGATAAAAGAAGTTGAACAGAATAAATCTTATCTGAGAATGAAGATTAAATATTGAGATGAAAATCTAGTAATTACACAGAGCTGTTATATTGAAGAAATATTGAAAGATTTTGAAATGAATAAGATTAACCCTGCAGAGACCTCAATAATAACAAGTATATAACTGAAATTTTCATCTAATGAGAATGATGAATTGAACAATGACTTTACAGCTATAAGATATTATCAAGAATTGAAATCATTTCAGTATTTAATCTCAAGTAGCTGATCAGACCTGATGTTCGCAGTCAACTATCTCTTATATTTTAACTCACATTTATACAAAGCATGTTAAGCAGTGTTGAAGCATGTTCTACATTATATCAAGAAGATGAAAAATTATAACATATTATACAGAAAGAAGATCAGTGATAAGAATCTGAGTTCTGTAATATACTATGATTTGAACTGAGCAGAGGCAGATTCTTAATACAAATCAACTATTAGCTATATTATATTGATTAATGAGTCACTGATTTCATGACAGTTGCAGAGACAGATATCTATTACTAAATCAATCACAGAAGCTGAATATATTACAGCTAGTGAGACAGCTTGTAAGATAATCTGATTGAATAATATATTATATAATACCAGATTAATAAATAATGAGAAAGTGAAAATATACTCATATTTATAAGTTAATAATAAGAGAGTAATTGATTTAGTGAAAGAGAAGTTCTTAACATAAAGATTGTATTATAGATTAGATATTTTATTCTCTACAATCTGATTAAAAAAGAGAAAATTATAATAAAATATGTTAATTCTATAGTAAACATAGCTGACAGTCTTATCAAGTCACTGATGAAGCCTGTATTTAAAGATTTTATTAAAAGAATTGATTTAAAAGAGATCAGAAAGAAATAATTAAATGATAATAAGAATACAGTGAATTAATGAATTTTATATATATTTCTTGATTTTTATAATTATTACTGTACAGATGCTTTTTCTAATAAGAAAATCAGAGTCTGATTCATGTAATTAATTATTATTACATTTTTGAAAGATTTGAGAATGAAGAAGGCCTTAGATAATAGCTTATTACAGATCACAGTGTAGTAAGAGAAGATGTTAATAATTACTACATCTACTCTAGTCACATGTTATCTCAATCTATTTAGTGTAACTCGCGTAGATAGATTATACAAGATAAACAATATTATTCTTCAAAAGCTTTTAAAAAGTAATATAATAAAAGAATTAATAAGTCAGAACTCAGAATATATAATTTAATAAAAAAAATATCTGACTTTAGAAAATATATATAAAAAGTTTTAACAGAAGTTTATAGAAATATATATTCAAATATTTATAAAATTATTTTTATATAATTACTAGTTATTTTCTTATTTTAATTAATTATAATCTTCTTTTAAGTTTGAATTTTTAATCACTTTTTACATTTTTTTTATATTTAATTCTGATAAAAGTTATATTAAAAAAGATATAAAATTATATTATATTAAATTAAATATAAAAATTTATAATTTCAGTAATCAGTCTAATATTAATATATTATAATATTTTTTCATTAATTAAATATTTTAATTTCAGTAATATATTTTACTATACAAGTATTTTAAACAGACAGTATAATAATTAATAAAATTTTCTATTTTAATGAAAGAATATATTAAATGAATAAAATAAAATAATTTTAGTATCTGAGACATATTGAATAAAGCAATACAGGTAATTAATATCAACAAGAAACTTGTAGTGACAGTGTTGTGCATAAAATGAGCCTCATAATCTGATGTGAAGTACCTGCAGCATTACTATAACAGGGAAGGCATCTTACAGACCTCACCACCACTACTATTGCTACATGCCCACTCTGTCACAGCAGCTCTCATTTGATCCTCCGTCCCTTTCTCAAACCAGAAATGCCCCGCCGTGTCAATCTCCACGAACTCAAGCATTGAGCCCGGCGTCTTCCTGAGATCCGTGACCCATTTCCGTAGCTTCTTCGCTGAAGCGAACATATCATTGTTGCCGTACACAACCAGAGTGCGGTGGGTCGTAAGCTGCTCTTCCGGCGGGGTCGATTTGACCTTCATACCCGCAAGGGTGACATCGAGATTGATTCGAGGGCCGAATAGAGACATCGTCATGAAGTTCGTGATGGGTGGGATGACGGGGGAGATGAGGAGAAACGACACAGCTGGCGTTAGCATATTCTGTGCAATTTCACTAACACCACTACTAGCACTAACACTAGCATCCACTGTTCGATTTTCCACCCCGTGGCCGCGTATAAACCTCGCTCTGAGTCTCCTTCGAGAACGTTCAATGCTATGTCTGATCGCTGCGCCCATATCCATGCTTGACTTTTTCCCAGTGGACTCCGCGCTGCTGCCCATGGAAACACACTGGGACGGCTTTCCCTGGCCATCACAACTGCTGCCCTGTAGAATCGGTGTTCGCGATGACAGTTCCAATTTTGCTTCAAGATTCCAAAGCGTAGATAGATCATCGGCCTGCTGTAAAATTTCCGCACTAGGCGAACCCGCTTCGGGAGATGCGAACAGGCGTAAAACGGCTTCTATGGATGGTAGATGAGATGCGATCATGGAGCCGTAAGAGTACCCGGCTAAAATTATCTCCAATCTTTCAGATCCAGCCGTGGGGTTTTGGATATCAGTCACAGCAGGAGGTTGATTGTTCCCAGATTCAGCCAGTGACTCTCGTATGGAATCGGGATCGATCCCAACAAGGTAATAGATGAGAAATCCGTAAACAGTGACATAGTCACTAAGCTCTGGTCGCGCGGACCAGCTTGTCCGACCTGCAGATTCGGACGCGCCTCTGTAAATATATTTACATATGTAAATCAACACACATAATCACCACACCAACATTCATGGAAAAGAGATACATGTCTCATGGATAGAGAACGCCAGCACACCCACCTAAAATTAAAAGTCACAACAATATATCCCACCTTCAATAGTTCACCCGCGACACCACAAACTATGGGATTGTCATAGTTACCCCCTATGGGGGCATATGGATGTGCGACAATAGCGCCCCTGCTTCTCCACGATAATGCACTATCAGGTCGTGAGAGCTGGCGGGGATGATACAAGCGACAGTCAATCCGGATGCCGTCGTAGAGGGACGGTATTGTGAAGCTGCATAACGGCTGCGGTAAGGGTTCCATGGTGTTTCAGCTGTCTCGTGCAAGTTTATTATTTTAGTGCCTGGATGTTGATTATCTTTGGAGCAAGGAGCCTTGGTGCTGGATGATGTAGCCGTCGTCAGCGACAAATCTGACATCGAGGCATTGTCACATTTCTTTTGGCTTACATTGAGAAATGTCATGTCCTCCAAGAAAAACTGGCGGAGCGGCGTTTTGGAGCCAATACGATGATGTGGTTATTGATGCAGTATAATTATAGCGTGGTTTGGGTTAGTGAATTGGCTCTCCGCCACACAAAAATTTCTCCATCCACACAGGGCATTTTATTCAAAAATCAGGTCGGCGCAGGGAGATGCGAAGGCACGAATAGGGGATCAAAAAAATGTATTCAAATATAGCTAGAACCCGTGAAGCTACGAGAAATATAAATATACATATTGCGCACAACCTTGGAAGCGCGATAGTTATGGAGTTGAACGAGATCCATTTGTTGTCATTGTTTTCCATGCTAATATCAAAAGGCTCTTTCATAATCGAAAAATTGTGACAATATCCAAAAGTAAGCAGGCTATCCAAAAGTCAAATTACCTTCATAAATCTTAAAAATATAGAACCGAAAAAGGACCATTAAAAATTAATATATTGCTCGAAGTTCTATTCGGAAAGTAGCCAAGCGGGATCAGGCTCGTCATCGTCTTCAGATCTGCTTGACTGCACAGGAGAATGCAGTGATTCCACTGTGGTATTCTCCACTGAAGCGGGAGATTGTTCCTTCGAATCTATTGTTTTCCTAGAATCTGCTGCTGCTGTATCCTCCTGAAAATTCAGACTGACTTCAGTTGCTCCCTTTGATAAACCAGCACCCTTGCCATCCCCAAGCGCTGGGAAAGCTTCTAGCAGCAGCCGCCTCGCTTCCCGGAAGGCTTCTAACTCTGCGCCAATGCAGCAAATGAGCAAATTCCAATTTTTCTGCTCCGCGAGTTGTAACCTTGTTTCTAGTTGCGAGGCTATATCGTCTAGTTCTTTTAGAACGGTTTGTTCATGGTTTATGCTTGAGTCCCTATCCCGGGGTTGTAAAACTTGCGAACCCTGCTGCAAACTGCGCATTTCCTGTCGTAATAATTTCTCAAAGTTGGATATATCTGATACAGCTTTTTGCCAGACCCCGCCCCCTTCCCTTAAGGCCTCGATCTCAAGATCAACTTTGTGTCGTTTGCTCCTTAATTCGCCCTGCTCCAGTACCCATTGCTCATTCGCCATCTCGAGGGTCCTGCGTTTCGGATTCAGAGTATAGAATGGAGGGGGGGTAGCGGAGGGAGGCACAAGAGGCCGTATGGGCGGAGATCGCAGATAATTGCTCACATCTGTTTGGACTAGCGCCAACGAGGCCTTGTACGAGGATAATTGGGCGTCAACGGAGTTTTGAATCTGGGAAACCTCGTTGAGGATGTAGCGATGCTGCGATTTCATTTGTAGCAACTTTGACTCTAGGTCTCGAATATCTGTTTCCAGAGTGCGAGCTGCCCTCATCAGATTCTCTGCTCTTAGTGATCCCCCGTTCATTTGGATTTCCGCTATTGCTTTTTCAAGTCCACTCTGCTTGGTCACGAAGCTTTCCACTTCTTTCACTGCCAGCCTCCGATTCTTCAGCTCGGAGTCAATGAGCCGCCGCTCTTCCTCCTTTAGACTAAGTAATGTATGCATTGTTTTAAGAATCCCACGCCGGGCACCACGGAGTCCTATTTTCTTTTTCGCTGGTTGTCGTACGGGTATGGTGATGGCACTATGAGAGCTGCTGCTGAATTGGGAGGGTGTAGGAGTAGGAGTCAAGCTGCCATTTGAAGTGGTATCGTCTCCAGCAGGCCCAGAGAGACCCGCAGCTAACCCAGCACTCTGAGCATCTAGAAGTGTTTGGAGATCGCGCTGGAGCTGTCTTGATTGGCGTTCTATATGCAGGAAAGAATCATAGTGCTGAACGGCGAGCTCTGGAGGTATAAGCTGTATCTGGCCGTTGTCGTAGGGCAAGAGCGTGGACATTTCAATGCTGCAGAACTAGAATATGGTAGAAAAATAGACCAGAAGGCCGTGGACTCGGTAAGTAAGTTATTTATTCGTGAACAGTTAGATCATGAGTTGGTATAGGGGGTATACAGATGCAAGAAATCAAAATCATGGACACTTTCTGTGGGTGTGTTCTCTGCCTCTTTCTCACCACACCGCCTGGAAGGTTACCCGCATGACACGCAGCATGAATAGGCCGTGGGTAATTGCCTCTTAAGATTGAGTCAGGCTTGTGATGTTCCGCCGCCACCGGTTCCAATCGTGATCACGTGCATGCACGTGATCCACACACATCCTGTAGCAGCGTCCGCCCAGTGGCGTTTGTAGGCTGCTGGGGCAAAAGAGCTCAGTCACCACCAGCGCACTGCTGGTAGAAGGGCCGATCAACCGCGGGACCCCCAACAGCGTTGCCATAGCGATCGCGCCGCCTACACGTGATCTCATATGTAATATAAATGTAACTAGCTCTTTCTACACGAATACAACAGATTAACCATCCCACAGATTATAGCCCGGATAGCACGTTTTTTTTACAAAGAATCACATTATTTTTATTTTTATTTTTACTTTTATTTAAAAACACCTGTGTAAGCATTGAATGTGTTCACTCTGAATAGAAGAATTCTTTTATCATGTTTACTTTGCATGTTTTAAGTATATTTACTTAATCAGTAATTGAAATAGCAGAACTCTACAGTATAATATATTTATTTTTAATTTTTGTCTTTAACTCTTCTTTAACTGATGAGTACTTTGGCTACATTATAAAGTGATAGAAGAAGAACTTTATATTCATATTTTCACACTCAGATATCTATTGATATAAGAATAAGTACTCACAGATAATTATTCAGATATTTATAATATAATATAATATATACTAATAGTTACTAGAAGTAATCACAGTAGAAAGATAAATGTAAGAATTAAATATATAATAGTATTTAAGTTAAGTTATAAATAGTAGTTATAAACTTCAGTCTATATAGTTATATATAGTCAAGAGCTGCTAACTCTATTAATTATATAAGAGATAGAAATAGAGATAAAGAATCTATAAGAAGTAGAATTTCTTATATACTCTCTTCTTTTTAAAGCTTTATCAGTGAAGCTTTTCACTGAGTAATTTCATAGAATCAGACTCAGTACTGTAGTGATACTTACTAAAAACTCTTTATATTTATAAAAAATCTTAATGAGGAAAAATTTCTTATTACTATAAAGAGAAAAGAGTCTATTACTCAGTTTCTTATTTTATAAAATTCTTTATAATTTGTAGATTTTTTTCTAACTGTTATATAGATTTATCTCATATCTTTTATTCAGAAAAGTTTCAGTTAAGTCTCAATTATTTTCATGAAATTCTTATGTAATTATTATATAGATTTATCTTATATCTTTCAATTTAAAGAGTTTCAGTTAATCTTCAATCAATTTTCCGCGAGGTTCTTATGTAATTATTATACAGATTTATCTTACATCTTTTAATCTGAAGAGTTCTAATTAATCTTCAGTTATTTTTTCACAAGATTTTTATATAACTATTACACAGATTCATTCTGCATGATAAATCACTTCTTGTGAGATTACTCTTATTAAAGAGAAGTACTTATAAGTTAATCTTTTACTTATTCTTATAAATTATTATTCTTTAACACTGTAAAGTTGTAAGAAATTTTTCATTCTTTTATTAACTCTGTAGAATTGTAGAATCAAGATATCTATGATCTGTAATTACTTTTTATACTTACTTAGAAAGATTCAGATCTGTAACTTATAATTACTTTTTATTTACTAAAGTAATCTAACTGTTTTACAGAATCACTTATAGTGTAAATAAATTTTCTCAGAGTAGTATAAATATCTGAGATCTATTTACAGAATCTTATGTTTTTTTCTCTTTTTCTATAATAGCTCTTATTCTTATAATCTGTGAGTATCTTCATTCATTTATAAAGTGTTTTCACTCAGATAATAGAGAGAGAGTGTTTCTAATAATATCTGTATATTAATTCAAGAACTTCTCAAGAAAAATTTTTTTTCAAATTTTAATATCTTTATAAATAATATTTAACTACTACTAAGCTTCTTATAAGTATTTCTATAACATCTCTGATTACTTTCTATTAGCTGATAATACAGAAACACTGTTACTGATAATTAGACTAACTGCTGAGATTATGAATTACATGTTTAATTTCATTTAATCTGATCTCATACATTTCTTAGTGTGTATTGTTGAAAGAAATCTCACTTCTCATGAATTCTTTACCTCTATTCCTATCTCTCGCGTAATCAATAGAGTTAGCGGCTCTTGGCAACATATAACTATATAGACTGAAGTTCACAAATACTATTTATAACTCAGCTTGAATACTATTATATATTTAATCTCTATATTTTATCTTTCTATCATGAATACTTCTAATAGTTAACAGTATATATCATGTCAAGCTGTAAATATCTGAATAATCATCTATAAGCACTTATTCTTATATTTCAAGCTCTGTTAGTCAGCAACTATCTATTATAGCTAAAAGAACTAGAAACTTATATACTTCAATCTCTATAAACTCTACTGTAGATACTCAGAAGCAGTCATCTGAATTATAAATAATCTCTATAAAAGAAGTCTCAGAGAATGTATTAATTACTTATAGAATATTATTCTCTGTATCTATAACAGAGAAACTCTTTAAAGTGATGAATGAATTAATCTTAATAAAGAATATTCTTGAGTATTTCTCACAGAATTAAGTTATTTTTCTATAAGAAATGCTTACTATCTGTAAACACTCTTAAACTGACTCTCTAGACATAATGTTCAGAGATATTTATAAACTGAAAAGAAACTTTCTTAAGCTATAATTACTTAAGATTATCTATTAAATCACAATGTATAAAAGCTTTTATAAGTGTGTATTTAAAATTGACTTACAAGCTCAGCTGTGTAATATAAAAGATGAAGAAGCTGTTATTTATATAATAACAGATCTCTACTATACTAAAGTTAAGAACTGACTAAATTATCTAGAGAATAATTATAAGAGATTTCACTAATCTATTCTCAAGATCTATTTGAAGAATAAGTTCAGAGACTCTGTAAGCTGAACAGAGAATATCTGAGCTGTAATTATTAATATTAGAAAAAGAGATAAGAGATCTGATAAAGACTACTCACAGTGTTTTATAAAATTATAATATAAATTGAAATCTATAAAAACAGAGCTCTGAAACAAGATCTCAATAATGACATTTATAAAGAGACTGAATAAAGATATATAGAATAAACTTATTAAGTAAGACTCTAAGTTCTTGACTCTGAAGAAACTGATAACTCTTATTCACTGCTTATAAATCACTGTAAGAGTCACAGATCTGTGAAGAGTGAATTATTAACTAGTCTTACAAGAGTTAGAATAACAGAGAACAGATTTACTGAGAAAAGATAATAAGATATAGAGAGATTCATATCTGACTACTGAGTAGAGAGAGAGAGCTTTATAAGCTTCTGTAAACAGAGTCTATAATAGAGAGATTAAGAAAAAGAATCTTTATTTTATCTATTTTAAATCAGAACATCTTCACACAAACTGTCTGAATAAACTAAAATAGAAATTTGAAAAGTTATAGACAGAGTTAGTAACAGTCTTCTTAAGAGTCTTGAAGCTGATATCTGAATTTGTTACTTCTTTAATGAAAATGTATACTTATAGAGAGAGACTGTGCTGTAGTACTACTATTTCATCAGTATAAAAAGTATTGATAAACTCAGAATCTCAGATTACTATAGTGTTTTTAATACTTATAGAATAAATAAGCTAAGTGATGAAAACTGAGAATCTACTCTTATAATAAGCAGAATATAAGAACTTAGATCTGAGAACTGAGAGACTTATAAGAGTTATCTTTAAATTATAAGATCTCTTCAAAATCTGAAGAAGATTTATAAAAACTATAATTATTACAGATATCACAGATAACATGTACTGAAGACTTGTATAACTTCAAAGATATAATTTATACATAGCTGTCTATGAGTCAGGTTATAGTTCTGATCAGTATTAACAGACTTACTTACAGAGATAGAATCAGTTGATACTGTAAAGTTAATTAGAGAAGACAAGCTTATCTATATAATAACTTTATAAATATCTGAGAACTTTATAATTATGAAAACTGAGCTTCAGATATCAGAGAAATATCAAGATCTTATAGAGATATTCAGTTTAGCTAAGATAGCTGAGTTTTCATCTCACTATAAGAAGAATCTAGTAATAGATTTAATAGAAGAGTAGAAACTCTTCTAAAAATCAATCTATAAGCTCTCTTATTATGAGACAGAGATCTTACAGACTTATATAAAGAAGAATCTGAAGAATGACTTTATTTAATCTTCATAGATCTCTGTGAAAGTCTCTGTGATATTTGTAAAGAAGAAGAATGAAGATCTCAGATTATATATAAACTACTGTAATCTGAACTTCAAGACTATAAAGAGTTACTATTCTTTATCTCTAATTGAGAATGTAATTAACTGTCTTATAGAAGCTGTTATATTTATATAACTGAATATAATTAATATATATATCTAACTGTGAATATAATCTGAGAATGAATGAAAGACTGTCTTTAGAACTACACTGAGATTTTTTGAATATCTAGTGATGTCTTTTAATTTGACTAATACTTCTGTGATATTTCAGTCTTTTACTAATAAAATACTTTATATATATCTGAATGTCTTTATAATAATATATCTGAATGATGTAATAATGTACTCTATGAAGAAGAAAGAATACACTGAGAATATAATAAGTGTGTTAAAGATCTTAGATAAGACAGAACTGTATATTAAGATTTTAAAGTACAACTTCAGTATCTATCAGATTAATTTTCTAGAATATATAATTATTACAGATAATATTCAGATGAAATTCTCATAAGTTAAGACTATTCTATTATAATTAGAGTTA